AAAAGGGAGAACGAGTTTACAGATAGAAGTAATCGGACCATAGCCACGCGCACAACAAAAACCCAAAAATTCTATAACTACGCCGCAAATAAAGATATAAAACTGTAATGTGATTTATGGCGGTTTTAATAGTTTTAATATAACCGTAATAACCGGACTTAGGTAGAGAGAGTGTTAGTGGAAGTTTGTGTGAAAAATCTATCCTAATTACTAAAAATAATTTAATAGTAAAAGAGTCCTCATAAATTTAAATTTTACAGTCTACATAATCTAAAATTAGTGGAGCTTTTCCTGATAATTCAAGAAAGCCAACAAGGCGTAAAATCTAAGACTTAAAGTGAAAAAGAAAGAAACTTAACACACAAAAGGTTAGGTTTTTTAAGCGGTAAACCACAGCTGAATAATATAGGTAAAACAGATACATGACAGCTATGGGTAATCCAGAGGTCACAAAAACACCCAGCCGCACGGCGGGAAACTCAAAACAAAACGCCACAGGCATTAAACAAACAACGAAAATCGACATGTACACAATAAACACTAGAAGTACGAGTCAGGCTGGAACTAACAAAAATGATGCTACAGGTATTGAAAAATCGCTCAATGTAATCATGGGAGAACTACAGAAAATAAATGACAACATGGCGAAAAATAAAGAAGAAATTAAAACGGAGTTTAAAAAAGAAATTGATGAGCTGAAGAAAAACATTGAGGACAAAGATAAAAAGTGGGAGGCAGAAAAAAACCTTTTGTGGGAACACATTGACCTGATGGAAGATAAAATTAAAAAATTGACAGAAGGTGTACCGGAAAAACTATCGGAAGACGAAAACAATCAATTAAAGAGAAAATTCAACAGCAGCAGGCAAGAGTTATCGCCGAAATTGAGAAAATGGAGCAGCTAAAGCAAAAACAGCTGAAGATTGAGAAGAAAAACAACATCGTCATTAAAGGTCTAATAGACACAGATGATGATCCGAAGCAAACGACTGTAAGGTTTATAGAAGGAAAGTTTAGAGTGAAAAGATAAAAAGGTGGTGATTGTGAAACTGAAAAAATGGGAAACCAAAGAGGAAATCATGAAGAATAAAAAAGTGCTAGTAAATACGAAGATTTTCATAGAAAACGATCTCACGCGTGAAGAAAGAGAAGTGCAGAGGAGAATAGCTCAAGAAGCGAAGGAAATAAGAAAAAACAATCATACTGTTAAAGTAGGATATAGAAAAATGTGTGTCGACGGAAAATGGCTCTCGTGGCAACAAATAAAAAGTAATATAGAAAAGGGGGATTTTTAATAGACAGGGCCAATAAAACAGGAGCCGATGAGTTCAAAGTGTTTTTTTGGAATGTTGCAGGCTTAGGTAAAAAAATGCGGATTTTTGGAGTTTTCTTAGACAATATGATGTAATCGGTTTAACTGAAACATGGGTAGAAAGTAAGGGATGGGAAAAGAATTAGCTAAAAGACTTCCAAAAGAGTACGAGTGGAAGTGTAAAGCAGCGAAAAGAGAAAAAAAGAAAGGGAGAGCTAGTGGTGGTATAATAACTGGGGTAAGAAAAGACATTGCAGTTGAAGATAATAATTTTGAGTTTGACGGGGGGGTGAAAAATGTTGTCAAAATAGGGGAAGATAAGTGGGTAATATGGGCAGTCTACAATCAAGGTAAAATTAAAAAATTGCTAAAAAAACATATGTGAGGAATCAGGTCACAAAGGTAGCTTATACGCAGGACCCGAAGAAGAGGATATACAAAGACAATCAAAAGACAACAAGTGCAACGCAGAAGGTGAGCTACTAATTAGTATTATAGAAGAAGAAGGGTGGTGTGTGCTGAATGGAAACACAAATGGTGATGAAGACGGATGTTTCACATTTCTTCCCGAATCAGGACAGTCTGTGATTAACTACGTAATAATAGGTGTTGAAGACTTAGTACAGGTAAAATAATTTAGAGTGTTGGATAGAGTTGAATCAGACCACATGCCCATAATGTGTAAATTGAAGAGTAAACTAGCCCACAAAAGCAAAAAAGAAGCAACAGAATCTGGAGAAAAAATAGTGTAGGATGATGACAGTAAAACGAAATTCCAACTTGCTACTATAAATAATGTATTCAGTGAAGATGCTTCCATCCATAGAAACTGGGAAGAATTGAAAGAAGTTATCAACAAAAATATGTGTAAGAAAACATGGAAAAGAAAGATAGGTGAAATTCAGCCGAAAAAATGGTGGGGTAAAGAATGCAAGAGTAAGAAAAGAAAGGTCAAAATTAAGTTAATAAAATGGAGGCACGGCCAAGCAACAAAAGAAGATTACTGGTGAAGATGGTATCCCAAATGAAGCATGGGTCTTTGCACAAGGTAATACCCAAAAAGAGATATGCAACCTAATGAAAAGAATATGGAATGGAGAAGGAGTACCTGAAGACTGGAAAATTGGGCTAGTTGTGCCACTGCACAAAAAAGGCGATAAAGAAACCGTGGAAAACTACAGAGGCATTGCACTTTTGAACACGGCGTATAAGATCTACGCAATGATCTTGAATGATAGATTATTAAACGACATCGACGGGAAAAGAATCCTTCCAGACACTCAAGCTGGTTTTCGAAAGGACAGAGGAACCATCGACAACATCTACATATTAAGACACGCAGTTGAGAAAGAACTTGCTAAGGAAAAGGGGAAACTCTTTGCTTTTTTCGTAGACTTAAAAGCTGCTTTTGACTGTGTTGACAGGAAAGTGCTCTGGAGCGCAATGGAGAAAAGTGGAGTAAGGCATGGTCTAATCCAAAGAGTCAAAGAGCTGTACAAAGAAACCAAATGCAAAATAAGAGTAGATGGTAGGCGATCGGAGGAATTCTCTACAAAGGATGGAGTAAGACAAGGATGCCCCTAAAGTTCTACACTCTTCATAATTTTAATAGCTGATCTGGGAATAGAACTAAGTAAAGAACAAACCGGCGGGGTTGTCATAAGAAAAGATAAAATTTGTAGCCTGGAATATGCTGACAACCTAGTGCTGTTCGCGACCAGTTAAGGAGAGTTAAAAGATATAATCAAGAGAATTATTTAGATAAGAAAAAACTGATACTGAATGAGAATAAGTCCAAGGTAATGGTTTTTAAAAACGGAGGCGGCAAGAGAAGAAAAACTGACTGGTTCTGGAAAGGAAGACAGCTAGAAGAAGTAAATGAATTCATCTATTTGGGGTACCTCTTCAAGAGTAGCGGAAAAAATAGAGCTCATATCAAAGAAAGAGTCAAAAAGGCTGTTATAGTGATGAAACATACTTGGAGTATAGTTGAGCGTCTTTTCAAGAAAGACTATCTAAAGAGAATAAAAATGTTCGACAGCCTTGTAGTCAGTATAATGGCATATGGAGCCGAAATATGGGGGTGGGAAGATGTTGAAGAGATGGAAAAAATTCGGAAGAAGTACCTCAAGTGGAAACTAGGATTAGAAAAATGTACACCGGACTGCATTTTGCTGGAAGAGACTAAACGAGAAAAGCTAAGACTAAGATTCGCAAAACTGGCTGTTAATTATGAAAGCAAAATTATGGAAAAAGAAAGCCTGGTCAAAGAGTGCCTGGTGGAAAGATGCAGAGGAAGAGGAGGTAAGGAAAGCCTGAACTACAGAACGAAGTTTTTAAATGAATGTGGACTCAGTCAAGAAGAAGTTGATGCAATAAGAGACGCTGGTAGGTCAGTTGGAGATGAAGTCAAAACGCGAGGAATGGCTGTACAAAGGCAGCTTCAGTGGAACAAAATCGAAAAGCTGAGGTACAACCAAAGATACTCATCTATATACTCAGGCGAAGTCCCAGAATACTTAAAAATTAGCGAAGATTACGCGTTAATTGCAAAAGCAAGATGTGGAACGTTAGAAGGGGCAAATAAAAAATGGGCTGACGACAAAGTAAAAGTATGTTGGTGGTGTGGTACAGGCAAAGATTCAATAGATCACTGGAGACAAGAATGCACAGAAACTCAAAGAACCGTATTATCAACGGAGGAAATCCTGAGCCTTGAAGGTGAGAAGGCAGCAGTAACCTGGTTGAAAGAAATTGCAAAAAAAAAAAAAAAGGAGGCTTGAAGTGTCATAGATACGGCCAATGCAATGTAAAAATTTAAAGATTAAAATTAAAGTTTTAAAGACTTTCTAAAAAATAGTATTTAAAGATTTTCAAATTAATAGTTCTAACCATGTATCTAATATTAATATGCAAAAGTTAATAACTAATAATTAATAGTTAATAAGAATAGAATATAAGGTATCATGTCTCTAAGTCCTGTTTCTAGGCCCTGGTGGCTGAAACAAATAAATAATTAATAAATTAATAAATAACCGTAATATAGGGTGTAGGCATGATTAGCATTCGATTTTACCGATTTTAGTAACTTTGGTTGAAAAGGCTTTTATAGTTTAAAGGTGTCCCTTCTTCCTGCGATTCCCTGTACCATATTACAATTTTATATGTTAATTTGTGGCTCCGATTTCTCTCATTTACAAAGCCATCTTCCTTAAGCTGAAGAACACGTGTACCAAGTTATCGATTGTACGACAAGCGGACAGTATTCAATTCGTTTCCTTTTCATTTATATATATAACATATACAACTCTATATCTACCTCAAAGACTATACTCTGTTGCAACATGTTGCGAGAGAATAAACTTGTTATTTACATTATATTGTATATCTATGTACATATCTGTTAACAACTTATTTAAAAGCTGTCTATATTAATTTCGTCACATCGATATTAAAGTGACCTAGCTAATCATACTCCAAGATTTTTTTGTTAATTACAATAAATTAGTTAGTTACTGATCTTTGGTACGCTAAATGTAAAACATTATGGATATATAATATTAACTGTCAATCTAAGGTTTGTGTGGAGATAAATAAAAGTGGTAATTAGTATTGGAATTCAAAACTATTCGCAATAAAAAATTAATGGTCTGTTTAGAAAACACTAAAAAGTATAAAATTGACCTACCTTGCTGTTCAATACGGTCTTTTCTCGGATCTGTCCAACTAATAAAAGCTACTGCGAACCAATCACCCATTTGTGGACCTTCTATTAAAAGGTGTTGTTGTTTTTCATTGGATTGAAACTTCACATTGAATATTTTAGATCTGAAAATAAAATTGAAATTAACTATACTGAAGCCTGTTTGTATAATAAAGTATAAACATTAAAGAAAGTTTTAAACGTTTCAATTCTCTTTATAAGACGGAGTTAACCAATTCACTACTACTACACTTGTGAAGTTGCCCCACTTACATCAATACATATTCAAAGATATCTTTTTGTTTTTAAATTCTACATTTCATTGTAAGAGTGGCAACATTCATCATGCTATATATTTTTTTTTTGAATGCGTAAGAAAAAGATGAGCACAAAGGTCCTCACAGTTGGAAGAACAGAAAGCTTGTATACTAGTACATGGGTCCTCACATTTGAGAGAGAAGGAAGCGTGTATACTGGTAAAGATGGAAAAGAACGATAAAACTAAAGCTGAAACGGATGACTCCTTGCAAGGAGATCCAGATATGCACGATGTAATGCATGAAGTGGAGTTGAAAAAATGTGCAACGAGTGTAGAAATAGATTCAGAAAGCCTAGTCGCAAACGCATATTGGGCAGACCGGAGCAGTTTAAAGTTGGTGTGTGGCTGCTTGCATCATGTATGGAAAAGCGAAGATAGTCAAAGCTCCCGAACACTTCTGGTTGTTTCGAAGATTAGAATTCCTAAAGTTCTCAACGAGCTGCACAACGATCCAAGTGGAGGGCACTTAAAAATCACGACGACTTTGGAGAAGGTCAAGAAGCAAGTATAAAATTAAAGCGCAAAGTATATCTGAGTAATATACGAATTAATATTGCCATTGCTGTTGTTGTAACTGTTGCTGCTGCCACATCTATAAAACCTTGTATAAGGGAAGTAATAACCATTTCTTTGGTAATCGCTATTGTCGAAACTAAAAAAAATAAAAAATAAAACAATAAAAACGCTTTGTAATACACAGGTACATAAAGCTGCAATCAAATTTAACATTGGAAGAATTAAAAGTAAAACTTTAACAAAAAAAACAGCAAAGTAAAAAGATATTACCGTTTTGTTTCAACATATTAAAAAAAACTTGTATTTGTACAACCAAACACATTAGAATTTCTATCTGAAATTATATTTAATCAGTTCTTTAGAAACAACATAAAATTCAAGTACTAACCGTCTTTATAAACCCCTTTTGATGCTATAAAAAAATTAATCAGGTAAGGAAGGGGTAAGTTCGGGTGTAACCCAACTTTTTATACTCTTGCATTTTACAAGGATTAAATCCGGGAAATACCTTTAGGTGTTGATAAAACTTCATATTAAAAAATGTTTTTATAAAAATTTATTATTTGACGAAATAATCGTACATAAATTACGATCAAATTTGGTATTTTATTAAGTTATATTATAGGTCATCATAGACCCAGTTAGTTTTATAACTATATGATACTTGCCGTAGCGAACATTATATTAAAATCATCCTCAAATGAGATATATCTGACAAAAATTTAACCGAAGAGGTGCAAAACGTCAACCAAAAGATCGCAAGTGATTATATTAGGGAGATGAGATTAAGACCAATGTCTAGACCAACACCAATCATGTTCAGCGGTTTGTTAGAATAATGAAAATTATTATATGTAATATAATATGGTTTTACATATTTTCGCCATTAAACTAATGTAAGTCCAATATTATACATTTATTTAATTTGCTAAGATATCTTACATATTGACCGATATATACCGTACCGGAAGTTTGAAAGCCTTTTATTAGATAAATGGGAAATTGATACGATTTTATCTGGTTTTGACATTACTATATATTATAAATAGAAACAGATGCCCTCTGAGCTTCATTAAGGTCCCATATCGTCAAAAATATATGTACAGAAGTATAAGAAGATACACAGAGATGTACCGTTAGGAGGAAAAAACGATTCTTCAATTTTTCACATACAGAAATATTATTATGAGGAAATAATTCTCTCCTAATTTGAATAATACATCTCACACAACACAACATCTCACATAACCGATATATCTGGGATCCACATTTCCGGTATCTGGAGGCTTGAATAGTTTTGGTTCGATGTTAACTGTTTTAGACATGAGATGGCATACCATAAAGGCAATATTCGTGCAAAGTTGCATCCCTATATATTAATTGGTGCTTGATTTGCACACTAGAAATTGAGAGAATTAGATGTAATTTAAAGTTGTATTATATGGGAGGTAGGCGTTGTTGTAGTCCGATTTCGTCCATTTTCGCCCATTTTAGCACTGTAACGTGGCAATGTTAAACTAGTTCTAGGTACCAAACTTGGTTGTAATTGGTGTAGTAGGTCCGGAAATTTGATCACTCAAAAGTGGGCGGTGCCACGCCCACCATCCAAATTTGACACCTGTTCCTTTAAAGCCCTCTTATACCATTTCGGGTGTAAATTTTTATGTCTGGCGCATTTAGTTATAGATTTATCGCACTTTTAGTAGTTTTTAACAAAACCGTTATATGGAGAGTGGCCGTAATTATCCTCCAATTTCACCTATTTAACGAGGGTGCAAGAAATGTCGAAATGCTTGAATAGTTGGGGAGATATATACATTACATTTTCAAATTACGATTCGTTGTACCAAATTACAATTTTATACATGTTGCAAGAGTTTAATAATATTATATTTAAAAATAAATCAGACAAAGCGCTAACCTCAAAATTTTTTTTCAAAATAATGGCGTCCATGGAAATATTGTATAGATGTAGCAGCAGGAACAGTTACAACAACAGCAATGACAATATTAATTCGTATATTACTCAGATATACTTCGCGCTTTAACTTTATACTTGCTTCTTGACCTTCTCCAAGGTCGTCGTGATTTTTAAGTGCCCTCCACTTGGATCGTTGTGCAGCTCGTTGAGAACTTTAGGAATTCTAATCTTCGAAACAACCAGAAGTGTTCGGGAGCTTTGACTATCTTCGCTTTTCCATACATGATGCAAGCAGCCACACACCAACTTTAAACTGCTCCGGTCTGCCCAATATGGGTTTGCGACTAGGCTTTCTGAATCTATTTCTTCACTCGCTGCACATTTTTTCAACTCCGCTTCCTGCATTACATCTTGCATATTTGGACCTCCTTGCAAGGTGTCATCCGTTTCAGCTTTAGTTTTCTCGTTCTTTTCTATCTTTACGAGTATACACGCTTCCTTCGCACCCAAAAGTGAGGACCGTTGTACTAGTATACAAGCTTTCTGTTCTTCCAACTGTGAGGACCTTTGTGCTGGTATATACGCCTCCTGCTCTTTCGGCTGTAAGGACGCTTGTGCTGGTTTACAAGTTTCTTGCTCTTCTGACTGTGAGGACTCTTTTACTGGTAAACAGGCTTCCTGCTCTTCCAACTGTGAGGACACCTGCGCTGATATACGTCCAGCTCTTTCGCTGCAGACAAACACTTCCAGAACGATTCTAACGCAGCATAAATAACCTCTGCTAAACATTGAGCCACTTTGTCTTCTAATTCTAATTAAAATAAATATTCCTCAACATTAATGCTTTTTGCTTCCATGGCTCTTCACCACTAAAACATTCTGGCAACTCGGAATTTCTAGTTGAATCTGGCAATTTATCGTCGTTTCAATTTTGTTCAATTTCAGTTATTTTATTTATAAAGAAAGAAGTAACCGATACATTAGGCAGTGGTTACCAATTTATAACCAAACCAATAACTCATAGCAAATGATGAGGTAACCGTTGCACCACTTTCCTGTAACCAATGGCTAACCAAACAAATATCTTACGAACCAGTTTTCTGTAACTTATAGGTAACCATGGCAATAAACAAACAAACTATTTTCAGTAACAGAAGTCTAACCAACCAAATAGCCAATGAAAAGGACGCTGTTAACCAAAGAGTAACAAATAATTTTCCAAAATAGTTGGCAAATTAAAGCAGTCAAATATATGTAGCATTTGCGCAAAGCAATTAGTGAGAGCGAGTAAGATAATCACACCGACGTGTAGTGAAAAAAGAGAAATAGTTACTTTTTTCCCTTAAGGGGGAGTCGTACTCAAAAGAATCCCGCTTAAGTACGATATGATAATTACGTTCTGTTTGTTAAAAGTAGCCATTAAAAATATAAAGATGTAACCTTTTTTAATAAAGTTTTATTTAATAAAAGAAATCAAGTAAGAAATGGCTAAGTTCGGGTGTAACCAAACATTTTATACTCTTGCTACTTGCAAGAAGCTAGGACCGGAAAATTCCTTCAGGTGTTGGCAAAACTTCATATTCAAAAATGTTCCGAAAGAATTTAGCATTCATTATTCGACGAAACCATAAATAAATTACAATAAAATTAGGTATTCTCTTGACTTTTATTAAAGATCCTTAACTTAGACTTAATTTTATTGCTATATTTTACTTCGCGTCAGCCAAAACTATATTATTAAAAACATCTTCAAATGAGATACATGTGATATCAACTCAACCGAAGTGGCTAATTTCCTCTTTTTGACAGATCGCGCGTAACTCGTGTAATGCGATCACGTTATTTTTGTTCAGTATTATTTGGCATTTCATCATGGAAAGACGTTTACAAATCATTTAACTTTATTACGAAAATTCACGTTCTGTAAAGAATGTGTTACGCTTATGGTCTACATAAGTGGCCTACTGAGCGTACTATTCGCAACACCATCACCTATCTTGAGACCCAGCATTCATTTATGGGTAAATACGGTCGAATGCGATTACCGAATAAACCACGTTCAGCCCGCAGTGAAATAAATATAGCGGTCGTAGCTGAGTGTGTACACGAAGATCGTGGAGAGTCGATTCGGCGTCGTTCGCAACAACTTGGCGCATTTTACGTCGAAATCTTTAATTGAAAAGAAATACAGCTTGTGTAAGAACTGAAGTCGCTCGGGTGAAATGCTCGAACGAGTCATCGAAAATTAAACTCAACTCAATGGGCCACATGAGACGTAGCCGCGGCAAACATTTGAGAGAGATAATTTTCGAAAAATAAATGCCAAAGAATGTTCTTTGGAATAATAGACATTCCCCATTAAACTTGAA